CACACAGGTGTCACACACACAGGTGTCACACACAGGTGTCACACACAGGTGTCACACACACACAGGTGTCACACACACACACACAGGTGTCACACACAGGTGTCACATGCAGGTGTCACACGCTGACCACACCTGCACACAGGTGAGGATGTGCAGAGGTGCGGGGGGGGCTCTGTGTGTCGGGGGGTCCCTTGCACGCGCGCGTGTCACCCGCAGGTGGTGCTGGCCCTGCCCTATGACACACCTGTCCCCGGCTACCGCAACAACACGGTCAACACGCTGCGCCTGTGGTCAGCCCGCGCCCCCAACGACTTCAACCTCAAGGACTGTGAGTGCCCCGACCCCAAATCCGCCCCTGAACCCCAAAATCCGCCCCTGAACCCCAAAATCCATCCCTGAACCCCAAAATCCACCCCTGAAGGGGGAGAACCCCAGTTTTTCAAAGGGAAGGGGTTCGGGGGGGGCTGTTTCGGGGTCTCACCGGGGGGCACCCCCAGTTTTTCGAGGGCAAGGAGCTGCGGCTGAAGCAGGAATATTTCGTGGTGGCCGCCACGCTCCACGACATCGTCCGGCGCTTCAAATCCGCCAAATTCGGCAGCCGCGACCCCGTGCGGAAATCCTTCGAGAGCTTCCCCGACAAGGTGAACCCCGAAACCCCCCGGGGGGAGCCCCCCAAAACCCCCCTCTGCGACCCCCCCTGACCCCTCCCCGGCCGCGCAGGTGGCGATCCAGCTGAACGACACCCACCCCTCGCTGGCCATCCCGGAGCTGATGCGGATCCTGGTGGACGAGGAGCACCTGGCATGGGACCAGGTGGGGTTGGGGGGCACATCAGGGCCCCCCCAAACCACAGGGGGGTGTCCCCAAAACCCCCGAGAGGGCTCCACGCCCGGCTAGCTCGGTTGGTGAGACTGAATCTCAGGGTCGTGGCTTCGTGCCCCACGTTGGGCGCCAATTGTTGCTGTTTGTTTGGGGGTCCCCGGGGAGTCCTGGGGGTCCCCTAAAATGTAAATTGGCTGGTAGCAAGAGGCAGGCAAGGAGACCCCACACGGCTTCTGAGGGTGCTGATTGGATGAGGGTTTATTGGGGGTCCCACCCCCGGGAGCAGCAGGGGGAGGGAGGCAGAGAGAGGGAGAGCCTGGGGAGAGAAG